GTGCCCCCGGCCGGCCCGGGCTGCGGCCCCGGGGGGGCGCCCCGAGTGGACCGAGGGCCATGAGCGACCCACGCCGGAGTCGAGGAAGGAGGGAGGAGCGGGAAGGAGGAGCCATCCCGCACCGTACCGCCTTCACCGGCGGCAGTGCGAGGGGCCGAGTGTGCGGAGCGGAGGCTACACGGGAGGAGGAAAGAGGGAGCAATGCTCTGTTTAAATAGAGCCTCGAGAAGGCGGGGGTGGGGGGAGCAAGGGTGTTCCCCTGTATGTTGTTTATATTCGCTTTCTATCTGTACGCGGGTTAAAATCTGACTCTGGGGTCTCTTGCCCACCACAAAGGGTGCTCAAGAAGTGCGGATCCATGCAGCGCCCCATGTAGCACTGTCGTCCAACAGCTTCCACGTCTCCTGCCATGGTAACACCTGCCGAGGGGCACAGTGCTCTGCCAAACTCAGCTCTGCCAAACTGGGCTGCTTTCCTCTGCGTAAGGTTACACAACCAAGGGGCCCATCAGCCGCTTCGCATCCTACGAACTGGAAAGTGGGGCCACCTCCACAGCAGCTCGGGGTTGCTGGCAGTCAGAACTGCACAGAAGGGATGCTCAGCAGCCCGTACGAGGCGAGGTCCCCACATGGCACAGCACCTTCAAACCGCATGCGGGAGCACTACAGGGAAGAGGTGCAGAGGCAAGGGACGGGAAGGCAGCTATACTCTGACAGTCATTATGTGAGCTGGGGACTGGAGGCATGACAGAGGAATCCTGGCTGTGAACCAAGAAATTCTATGTGATCCACAGCCACGTCCTTGCCAAACCCCATGGCCAAGCAGGAGAGATTTATATTTTAACACCCCTGCTTGGAAAGGTCATTGTGGAAGGCCAAACAACTTAAGCAGGCTCTGTGGTTTTTAGCACTCACTGTTTTCTGTTACTCAAGCAGGCAGATCTCTGAAAACACACCCTCTCCTGATTCCTTTCTAAAGAACTTCAAGTGCACTGCTCTGTATACGAACAGGCCAGTCCATATTTTACTGTGCAGCTTTCTGCTGATTTGAGTGTTTCCTTGTGTGCAGCTGACACTGAGAGCTTTGCTCTCAACTTGTCCCTAACAGATCAGCCCCTTCAGATGTCTGAGGGTTTGAAAGAAGGTTCTTGGTTATCTACTGTTTGGCACATAGCTTGATGATATTGTATTATATGTCCCTGTGATACTCTCGTTTGCTTTTACACTTACAGTCTTTCTTCTAGACCTGGAACTACACCACAGATTAAACAAGGCCAAGCCCTTCATGAGTAGCTCAGAGCAACATGCAGATGTTCCCAAACATCATGGTAAAACCACTGAATTCCTTCTGCACTGAAAATAGGAACAGCTTAGGTCAACATCAGATCGGTACAGAGAGATGATGCTTCTGCCTCCAGCCAGCTGAGGGCACAGGTCTCTCACAACTACTTTTTTCAAGTTTTCTAGTCCATGACGGTGCTTTCAGAGCAGCTTAGGGAGAGAAAATCCTGTGTCATCTCACTGCCATTTAAAGGAGGGTCCCTCTGTTACAGCAGGGATAGATGGAGGTTCAAGAAATGGACTTCTAACCCTTTTGAGTATTCCTATGAATTGTAGGCTCAAACACTGCTCTGTAGCACTACCTGGAAGACAAGGGTTTAAGATGCATGTTAAGCTAAAAATGCTAGGGTGGAGGAAATATGAGAGATGTAGTGAGGCACACCTCCTTTACTAAGGCCCAGTGTTCTAGCAGAAGTTGAATAAAATGAAACTGTTTAAAGGCGCACCTTCATATTCAGAAAACAGACATGCTACCACATACATAGCAAATATTTTAAGGATCAATGAAAAATTTCCATCACCTGATTTTCATTCTACTGTTCCTACATCAGGTTTTGTATTTCTGAGTTTGGATGCAATGAGAGAACAGTTTCATTTTCAGTCACAGCCTGTTACTTTTGACATGTCTTTGTTTATTTCATAACAGTATCGTAACACTTTATTTCATAACCAGTTTTCTAACAGGCCACATCCACAACCCTGCATTTTGGGTTAGCTTCAGCTACGTGATCACTCCTAAAAAAATACAATTAAAAATTTCATTTTAGAATAATCTTTAATTTCATAGAATCATTTGAATTTCCTTCAAAACAAATCCTCTGATGCTTTTAAACACCTACTGTGTCTACTGCTCTAAACATTGTTTTCAACTTTGAATGAATTAGAACTTTAGTGAATATTTGAATTACTTTTTTTCTTTTTTCTGTGGGATACTTGATCTGTAGCTACTGATTCCAAATGTGCTTTGTAAAAATTAAAAAGATACATCCATAAAAGTTTAAAACTTCCCTCCTACACATTCAGTTCATGTTTCTGGTTTCAAACACTGCCTTGGGTACGCAATTCCTGCTTGAAGTTAAAGTATTTCAGTAGAATACAGATACAGGCACTTTCTAGGAAAAAGCAAGTATTCAAAAGTACAGAGGTAGTAGGGGTATGTATCTAGGTTAGAACTTTACTGAAACTGGTATTGTGCTTTTTGAGGAAAAAATATTCTGCAGTTTAAATGATTCTGCATTACAGACAGTGTATCAATCAAATACCTACTTAGGAAAGGCCATGGCCACCCTTTTTCTCCTTTCACCACCCAAGATTAAGCTAGGAAAAAGATGAGCAAATCACATGGTGCTTCGTGTGTGGTGTGAGAACAAATGTAATGCCAATGGCCTGTCTGATGTAGGACAATCTCTAATGGACACTTCCAGGTGCATTCAAGGCCTTGGTGGCAGTGGCACCCTTTTCACTGCATTCTGCATTCAGTATTGCACATGCCAGTATGTTGATTGGCACATATATGTATGTGTATATATATGGAGGCTTTTAATATTTTTCTCCTTTGACACATTTTGGCAAGTTTCTTTATGAGGTTCTATTCTCTTTATGCACAAAGTATGCAATACGGACAAATACTTCCTAATTTTACTTTTAGAGATCTAATGATTCAGTAAATGTTCTTTTAAGTCTCATAACTAATGAAGAGTAACTGTGGCATCAGTGTAAAATACTGTTGAGCCTCCAAACCCATAGCAGCTGTGCAGATTTGCTTGCATGTAAATATTTTGTAGCACTGCAACTGTAATAGGGAACATAGTTAAGCTACGTAGTAGCATATATGCAGACCCTTTATATATCTGCTGTTTTGTGTATAAAAGCAAAAGAATAACATTTTAAAGCTGTCATACAGGAATTCAGTAATCTGTTAAACCTGAAACATGTTTAATCACTAAAAATAAAGGTTAGGTATATTTATATACAACAACCTCTTCATTCTTCTTTGCTTTTATAGCGTGGGCAGAGGGAGAATGAACTCATTCATGATTTAGAGCATGTAGAAGCCTACTTAGCCTGTTGTGAGTAAGTATGTGTGCTGCTGAGGGTGCCCGGAATCAAAAATCCCCTGTTTTGTTATTTTTAAAACATCACCTCTTGCTTTGCTTCTTGGCAAGTGCAAGTGTCAGCCCATTAATAATATTTTGCATCAAACAACAGTCATCTGATAGTTGTCCAAATGAAAGATTTCGGGCTGAAGTCTTCAACGGATCTGTGCTGCATGACTTCCCACTCTTGGCCAAGACCATTTGCACTATGTATCCTTTGTACTTCTTAAAGTCAGTCTCAGAAGAGATTAATGGGCAATTTCTCTGTTCTGAATGGATCATTATGATGAAAACAGTAGCCCGCTTCCCTCAAACTGGGAGGTTCCCATCATTCTCTCAATTTATTATACATTAGTCTCACTTATATCACTTATTCTGTACATAAACGCCAAAATAGCACTTAAAGGAGTGTTAAAATAACAACTTTGTATTTACTATTGTAATAAATGTAATGGTTGTGAATTATCCCAGACTTCATTATCATTCATTCTGTTGAACAACAAGACAGCCATATTTCCATCACTGTCTGTAATTCATTTTTCCAAGTCTTCTTATACAGCTTCAAGTGGCAATATCAAGAGAGCCACAGTCCTCTTGAAACTCAGATTTCAGGTCTGACTGTTACGTTCAGATTTTATCATGGCACTAATGAAAAGAATGTAGGATTACTAAGGAGAGGAAGTACCTCTTGCTGTAATACTTACAAAGTTCCAAACTCTATGTCACTACTGATGAATTCTTCCAGCATACTTGTATCGACCATGGGATTCTCCAAGGCTCCACAGACATCTTGCCCTAAAATTAAAAGCATCAAAAAGAAATTATGAGAATGGAGTTCAGAGGGACTAAGCTGCCCACTCTCCTACA